TACGGTACACAGATTCTTGGTAAATAGATTTTTTGCTTTTTTACTCCCGTATGATGGTGGTTTTAGGGGGTAGCCCGGAGGTAGAAGTGGTAAACATTTATACTTGTTTTTGGGCCGCAAAATTAATATTTTTAGGGATTAACTTTCTGACGACTGGACTACAAAAGAAAAGATAGAAATATTCATATCACAAGAACTGCACACGAAAATAAAGCTGAGAAACGCAACAAAAACAGTCTATGCCAGAGAAACAAAAAACCTTTCTAAAATTGATATTAAATTTCTTTTGATATTTATAACTTATAAATAAACTAAAAAATTGAGGTTTCAGTCTCGTAAATGCAGTCTCAAAACTATATTTCACAATAATTATGAACAATTCATTAAAAAATATACGAAACAATTTAGAAAAGCAACACTGCAATCCTTATATTCATGTATCTTTTTTTATTGTCACTAAATAATCTAAATATTTCGACTGATTTTGTTGATTCTATGTAGTTGTTTTTCTCTTATGGATTATACAGTGTGGAAACCACTTATGGAATAAAATTGTTTGAGTCCTTATTTTAGAAAATAATACAAAACGTTGAGATACCTTAACTTTTAAATTTAAATGTGCGCTTTTTAAACATAAATTTGAATGTACAAGGTAATCCACGCACATCTGGTATAGTCCATAATCTGTATTTTAAATGAAACACTCTCTATATTTTTATGTTTTTAAAAGCTCCTTAACAACCTGATCTCAACCAACTATATCATGTAGGATCTATTATGAATAATGCAAGGTGAAATTTTGAAATTAAGACCTTGTTGTTGGCAATAACACAGTCTCCTATAAAACTCGTCCCGGGCTTTATTTAAAGTTTGAGGTCAAATATTCCGTATTTATGTAGTTATCCTTTATTTGAGGTCTTCAATGCTAATTGATTGTGTTGCATATACTTTGTTCTTGAGATAATCCCACAGAAAAAAATCCAAATAGTACCCCTTCAACCAATCCATTTATTAAAGAAGATTTCATTCAACTAATTTCTCACAATTAAAGCCTAATGGGGTGTTGCACCGTCCTGCTGGAACCAGACTATAGGAACTGAGGAAGAACATCGTCTGTGGCTCTGAGTGTGTGTTTTAAAATACAAAAAGTGATGGAGCAGTTATACCGTGGCAAGAAACTTGTTAACTTGTGTAAGTTAGATCAAAATAAAATAAGGAGTAAACTAAGATCGAAATAGGTAAAGAAATAATAATAAAGACTTACTCACAATCAATTTAATTTAACAATCAGACGACCGGTTTCGCTTTCTACAATTTGCAAAGCATCTTCAGGTCTAGATACAAAGTTAAACTAATGCTGCAATAAAATAAACCCAATTAGGGTGGTGTCTAATAAAGATAAAAAAAAAACAAATAAGTTAGTTTATACAAATTATAGTAATTATGCCAATATTACATGTCTGTGGTTTTCAAAATGAATAAATTTGAATATATAAAAGATATTAACAGACAAGGTAAGACCCACAATTGGTATAAAGTAGTAATATTATATTGTAATAAATTAATAAATGAGCAGATAAATAAAACAAAACAAACATTACTTACATGCCGGTACTCTATTAATTGATGGATGGTAGGTCATGGTTGCAAAAATCATGTATTGTTGATTGGAGAACTTTAATGTGCTATTGCAGTTGTTTTGACAATAAACGGGAAGTTCTTGAGGAAAACAGATTTGATCCAATGAATTAGAGATAGGTATATTGTGGTTGTTTGTCAAATGAAAGTGATGTTCTTTACTATTGTATTATTTAAATTATTTACACTTATATCAGAGATATATTTTTGGAATGTGTGTTATTTATTGAGTATTTATGTTATGAAGGAGACAGTTTTATGACAATGAATAAGAGTAGCTGTACCGATTGTGTGGTTGTGCAATTATTTTGACTTGTAATTATCAAGTCTATTGGCAAAATTAATCAATTATTGTAAAGTCAAGTATATAAAAAGTATATAAAATTATTACAAATTAAGACAATCAGGGACAAATTAAAACACAACATTAACAGGAACAGAAACACTAAATGACGGACAAACATTGAATTTAAAACTTAAACTTGGGGAATGGAAGAAACTGCAAGCACTACATCTCAGTGTTGGAAGTAATGAGTTTTTTTATATTTAATCTATTAGATTTTAAGAGGCAAATTTTGACATATGTAGGTTGAAGTGTGACTGTTCTTCTTCTATTACTAAATACTGTAAGTTTTGTTATTCAGTATTATGGAGTATGTTGATATTAATGAATGTCTTAAAATTTGTTTTAATTTAGTAATCAAAAGTAAATTGTTGTGTTTAATATTGACATACTTTAACAATTTTAATTAATAAGTTTCAAATTCAAAAAATGTCTCCTTGAGTTTCAAATCCAAAAAATGTCATAAAACTGTCTCCTTCATAACATAAATACTCAATAAATAACACACATTCCAAAATATATCTCTGATATAAGTGTAAATAATTTAAATAATACAATAGTAAAGAACATCACTTTCATTTGACAAACAACCACAATATACTATCTCTAATTCATTGGATCAAATCTGTTTTCCTCAAGAACTTCCCGTTTATTGTCAAAACAACTGAAATAGCACATTAAAGTCTCCAATCAACAATACATGATTTTTGCAACCATGACCTACCATCCATCAATTAATAGAGTACCGGCATGTAAGTAATGTTTGTTTTGGTTTATTTATCTGCTCATTTATTAATTTATTACAATATAATATTACTACTTTATACCAATTGTGGGTCTTACCTTGTCTGTTAATAACCTTTTATATATTCAAATTTATTCATTTTGAAAACCACAGACATGTAATATTGGCATAATTACTATAATTGTATAAACTAACTTATTTGTTTTTTTTTATCTTTATTAGACACCACCCTAATTGGGTTTATTTTATTGCAGCATTAGTTTAACTTTGTATCTAGACCTGAAGATGCTTTGCAAATTGTAGAAAGCGAAACCGGTCGTCTGATTGTTAAATTAAATTGATTGTGAGTAAGTCTTATTATTATTTCTTTACCTATTTGATATGGACTCACACAAGCAACACATTCATGATTTTAGATCGAAATCTTCTGTGACATATAAAGAAGCAGATGATTTAATATTTTTGATGGAAGTTCAAGTGATGAATTTCAACCTTATGATAGTGACTATTCTGACTCAGACAATTCAGAACCTAGTAAAATACAAAAAACAATCATATGACTGCAGAATTAGCAAATACGATGGATGCACGGAATGAAACTTCTTATATAAGAGATTGAAAAAATTCTGGGTAGATAAAAAATTAGAAAAAGGAAGCGCCATCCAAATAATTAGGAAAAGAATAAAAGGAAGTGATTGAAATTACTTAAAAAAAAAGGCAGAACATTTTTAGTGAGTTTTATAATCTTTCTCCAAAAGCTCAAAATCAGTTTATTGCCAGTCACATTCAAGAAAGAGAAAACAGTATACCAGACAATACTATTTAGAATGTAGCTCACAAAGAATTGAAGTTTGCCAAGTTATGTTTTTATCAACTTTAGATGTAACCTTAAAAAAAGTTCGTGTAATAGTAAACCAAAAACGTTCCTCAACATCAAATATTTGCTCAAGTAACAGTCGTGGAAAACATATGAAACATCCAAAAATAAAGGAAGAGGAGAAAGATGTAATAAGGCAACACATTCTTATGTTTCCTTCAATTCAAAATCATAGCTCTCGGGAGAAAACTGAAATGAAATATTTGTCTCCCAATATTTCTATCTCAAAAATGTATAGGTTATATTGTGAGTATTGCCAAGAAAATAACCAGCACATACGTGTACTACTTGCGATAAGCTTTCATTACTACTTAAATCTGTTTTAAAGAGAAACAGAAAGATAAACTGGCCTACAAACTTAATCCAATTTGGTGGTCTTCAGTTTTGACCATTTACCTACTCCCTACTTAAAAAGCAGCATTTCATTCTACAAAAGAAAATTGTTGACTCTGAACCTTACGCTAGGAACTACAAACTCAGCTATGGAATGAAACTGTAGCTCAAAGAGATGGGCAAAAAATAGCTTCTTATCTATAATACTACCTAAATAGTATTTCCTCTCATATAAATAAAATCATTGTGTATAGCGACTACTTGCCTGAGCAAAATCGAAATATTTTACTATCAGTTATGCTTCTTACCGTTATTGAACATTCCGAACACCAAGAAAAGGAGATTTATATTTTTCAGACACTATACATGCTGCAATAGAAAAAACTAACAATTCTACTACTGCGAGGATAGATATTCCTAGAGACTGACCTAACCTTATTCGTCTAATACCCAGAAAACCACCAATTTTTGTTCATGAAATGAAGCAAGAGGAATCTTTGTTTCAAATCACTATTATCTGAAAAATTTCACAATGCAAAAACCAATAGTCAAGGACAACCAGTAGTGTGGTCTAAAATAAGGCTTTATTTACTATTCAAGTGAAAATCTTATCGTGATGAATACAAAAACTCTTTTACAGACGATGAGCCTTATAAAACATCGAGCTTATTAAGAACAAGAACTAGAAATACTCGAACTACTCCTTTGTTACCAATTTCTGATAACCCATTGGACATACCAGCGAAAAAATCACATTTTAAAGACATGTTACCTTACGTTGAGGAGAGTAGTCAGTTTTATTGATTCCAAACATTCCGTAATCGATGTAAGAATGACAAGACAAAAAAAACAGTGTTGTAGTATACAAAGTTCTGTACAAGAATTTGACAAGAAACAGCATTTGATGACTTTGGCCCTTTTAGGACCAAGCTTCTGATATATATTTGTTCGTTTTCTTCAAATCCCATTTCTGTCCTAAATTCCTTCATAATCACCCTTCAAAATTTGTTCCTATGGTAATGCAATAATTAGTGGTGACAAAGGGGGAAATAAAAAAGTTGTTTATAAGAATATGTTTTATTGTATTTTACAAAACAGTAAAATATCGTTATATCTATACAATTTAATACTTGAAAATTAAAACGAGCAATATAAATCAGTCATTTTTTATAAAATAAAAATATAAAATCTAATACACCTAAAAATAAACAACTGCTAAGCTAAAAATTAAGTTCCACGATATATCAACCAATATTCATATTTTTGCGGTTGATTACTGCTCAGCAGAATCGAAAAAGCTTTATAAAATCATTTTTAATAATATTATTTCAAATGCACACGATGTATCGATGACCTGGAAAGGAATCCCAGGCCTCTCATTGAGCTACAGATAAAAGAAATGTGTATTGACTCTATAGTCCACGAAGTAATAAAAGGAAATAAATAGGTAAGTAAAATTAAGTACAAATTCGTCATGACGAGTGCCAGCTAATTTAAAATAGATAAACTAGATTGTCTAAATATATCGTTTTTAAAATGTCATCTTAGTACAAAAATTGATTGTATGAAACATTTTCAGTTTTCAGTTATGAGATCATGTAGCACCAACATTATGGTAGTAGTGGTTACCTACAGTAATGTAGCAATTAATAAAGAATAATTACAATTACAATACAATTGCAAACAGAAAGATTACAAGATATTAATAAAAAATTAATTACCTAATTCTTGTATGAAGATGACGGTATATACCTACTTGTATACATTTATGTATTGCACATATTATATCTACATAACTATGTTTTGAGCTCAAAATAAAAACAATACAACAAAATCAAAAACTAGAAAATCTATATTACTCAAACTGCTATTCCGAGCTCATCATTCCTTTTCTTCGACCTGACAGAACTTGCTCTACTGTTCTCAACAGTATCGATAAAAGAGGTTAGCATTCCTTCGACTTCGGACATGGCATACTTTAAATTCGTGTTGTCGATGTGACCCAAAGACTCATCTAAACAAAAGTTATTAGCAAGTATTTGTTGCAGCTTAGCCAGAGCTTCGTCCAGGTCACTGTGAAGTTCTCCGGGTGTTGGTTTTGGTTTTGAACTTGACACTGCAGATTTGAATGTGCTGGTTTGATTTTTGGGTTGACCTAAAAGATAAAAAAAAATATATGGTTAAGCAAAATATGTAATAAACATATTTATAATATATTTGATGAGAATAAACTGCAATTTGTACAACCAACTGGAAAAATAAAGCAAAGAAAAGAGCAGATTGGAAGCAATATGGATAAGCAATAAGTAATATGGAAGGCGAGAGCAGTTAAAGTAAACCATGCCCAAATTTTTCGATGGGAGAAAAAACTATTATATACAATGTGTATCGTGGACTCCATCCGTAGTATATTATATCGATGATGAAATCAATGAGCAATTTATCTCTCTCTATCTTATGGCAACGTTGATCTACTAGGTCCTCATTTCTACTGGTTCTAAGAACACGACGTTGTCATGTATGACTTTTACCAGGATATTATCATACTTTTAGATGTTTTCTATAGATAAATATTATAATATAACTATAATATTACACATAAATATTGATGTTATTAAATACATTTTATTAGATAACTTAACGAATACAAAACCAAACTATCATTAATCTATGATAATTTTACTGAATGTAATGCAGGCCATTCACGTTCCGACTTGTGGTACCACTTAGTAGGACTACTAGTTGGATGTTCGTCTCCACTCACGCTCCGACTTTCTATCCAACTAGCGGTCCAACTTCAGTTCTAGTTTGTTTTCACGATGGTGTACATCGCTTAATCAAAAAATGTATCGAATAAACACTACGCAAAATATAATAATATGATATGTATGTTTAAAAATTAGGTTTCGTTTCTCTAGTTATTTGTCTAGGGCTGAACTAATAAATTTTGCAACTCTTGATTTTTATGACTTTTTAAGATGTAGGAAAAAATTATAGTTTTTAAAGATTTGTATAGGTATAAAATCTATATTTTATTTGTTTTAAAACTGGAGCTGGGATTTATTTTGTTGTGTGTGTGTCGTATATTTTTAATAGGAAACATTTTTCGTGCAATTAAAGTTATTTTCTATTATTTTTTGCAAACTAGGGATCTTTTGCTACAACTATGATTTAATTTTCATTGTTTGTTGATAATTCTTCCGTAGTCAATCCGGAGTATCGGAAATTTACCTGTATAGGAATTTCCGAAATAGATCTACAGAAAGGAAAATGATTTGCCCTAACAAAAAGGTAATTTTCGTGCAATTAAAAGTTTATTTTCTATTAAATATTAGCGAACTAGAGATCTTTGCGTAAAGTATTTCATAGAAATCTCATACGTAACAGGTGCCGAAAGTCAACTGACGAGGAAATTTTCGATCCAACCTGTGATCCGACTTCCAACTTCACCATTCACGCTCCGACTTCGTCGCCAGTCGGAAGTCGGATCTTCAAGTCGTCCCACTAGTCGTACCACTAGTTGTCCAACTAATCCAACTAGCCCACTCACGGTCCGATTTCAGATCCAACTGCAGAAGTTGGACCACTAGTCGTACCACAAGTCGGAACGTGAATGGCCTGCATAAATGATTAAAATATCATCTTCTTCTTCTTCTTCTTCTTTTTTTATAAGCAAAATTGCTTGTTCAATGTCGATTAATGCCTCTATTGGAGGTTATCACTCCATCTTTTGCGTGTCGCCCGATACTTCTTCTACCTTTTGGTGATTTGTCCCTCGCTATTCTGACTAATCGGGTCTATTCCATTCTGTTTATGTGTTCGTTTCCATTCCTTTTTTCTGTTCAGTGTCCACTCATTTATTTCTGGTATATTGCATTTTCTTCTGATCTCTTCACTCCTCATTCGATCCCTCAGTGTGTTTCCTGTAATTCTTCTCAGTAAACGCATCTCCGCTGTTTCTAGTAGTTGCTGAGTTTTGGAGGTATCCAGTCTTGTCTCTGAAGTGTATGTCATTATTGGTCTTATTGTTGCTTTGTAGATTCTTGATTTCACGTCGGTATTGATGTGGGGATTGCGCCATATCGTGTTATTAAGACAACCTGCTATTTTATTAGCCTTTTGTACTTGATGTTTCACTTCCTTCTCCACATCTCCGTAGCTAGGCAGTGTAATTCCTAGGTAATTTGTCTCCATTACTTGCTCAATGCTGGATACCATCGATTTCCAGTTTACATCTAATTGGTTTTTTACTGATTACAATTGTTTTAGTTTTCTGTGTAGAGATCACCATATTAAAGTCCTTTGCCCTTGTGTTGAATCTATGGGTTAGTCTTTGTAGATCGTCTTCATTGGATGCAATTAGGGCCGCATCATCTGCATAGCAGAGTATTCTGATTTCTTTGTTCCCCATTTTGTATCCTCTTCCTTTATTAATAGTATTGATGATTTCATCCATGATTAGATTGAATAGCGTTGGACTAAGCGAGTCTCCTTGTCTTATTCCATTGCCCATATCTATTGGATTTGTAAGCTGCTCATCTATTCTGACTTCCATATTGTTGTTCTGGTAAATGTTCTCTATTGTTTTTATAACAGTTAGTGGAATTTCTCTATCGTAAAGAAGGTGAATTACATCTTTAAGCATGATTAAAATATAGATTGCTAAAATATCTGTCATCATAAAACTGACGACGTTGTCGCTTTATCGCATTGATATTTCTGAGAACCTACGGCCTACAAATTTGATTCTTAACTGTAGGCTGCGGATCGACCTTATATATTTTGTCCTATTATGTACCAGGTTTTATTTTTTTTTCACTCGATAAAAATATATTGTTAATTCTTTCTTCGCTGTGTGCAAGTACTTTAAGGGGATACGTGAAACGATTGTGTGCGTGCAGCGGTGAAATCTTGCAATTTAGTTAGCATATTTCATAAGTAGTTATTGAAAAAAATGGGATTTAGCAAATGCTGTGTTATAAATTGTAAAAATATAACAAAAAATAGTAAATTCAAGTTCTATCGGTTTCTAACTTCTAAGCATAAATTAATGCAAAGAGAAAAGTGGATATACATTATAAAAAAGCAGATATAAGTAACAAAATATAAATTCTGCATTCTTTATGCTTGATTCTGTAATCAATTTCAAGTGAACATTAAATCATAAATTAAAGTTCAGTTTAAACTGTAAATTTCAGTTATAATAACTTTGGTTCAAGTCTATTTACAATTTTTTTTTTCAAATTTAAAAAAAAATGCTAAATATTTCTTCTAAGTTCGGATTACGCCGCCCAAAGGTTGACAGGAAAAGAATAATTAATTATTTAAACCAACATGATGATGAATGATTCTTTGAAAGGTGTGCATTGACAATAGATATAGTTATGCACTTTAGTCTATTTGGTATGCTAATATAGGTCTAATTGCTGATTTATAGATTTTTGTTTTTGTGTCTTGTCTTAGGTCTTTGTTCTTCCAGATTATGTCATAAAAAGATCCCGCACCTTTACTTGCTTTTAAGCTTTGTTGTTGTACTTCTTCTTCAACATCTCCGCAACTAGTTATATCTAAACCTTGCTTCTTGCTTTATTATTTTCCTATCAATTTCGATTTTACATCGTAATGGGTATTTAGATATTGTCATACATTTGGTTTTTCTGTTAATATTATCATATTGTATTTCTTGGCTGTTGTATTAAAGATTTAGACTTATCTAAAAAGAACATTAATGTTGTAATGTTGTAATGTTGCTCCAACATAATATATTGATATGATATGCAATTATTAATTATATTTTAGAGTGGGTAAAATTGCAATTGGAATCCTACACCTTCTCACTTAATATGAAGTGCTCATTTTATTGGAGAGTAAAACAGAGAAAGTAAACTAAGTCCTAATTTTGCACTAACAATATTTTCACCAGAACTATATCATAAATTGATTCAAAATGCCCCTCTAAATAGACATGAGCGTTTCAAACAACGTTGTCTACAAAAGAGATCACCATTAATTGTAGATAATAAGCCCATCAGTTCTTTGAATGAACTGCATTTGAAGAATTTGGAGTCAGAAATAGCAGGCAATTCAATGAGTGAAAATGAGAATGATATGATCCAAGATGAGTCAGTAGCTGGTACGGGTGACAGTAAAAGTGACCAAGCATATCAAGTTGATATTTTTGTTCGTTGTGATAGTGTTGAAAAAAAATCTGTATTGTAATAGATTTATTTTTGGACCTAATTCTTGTGAAGCAGAAACTCAAATTGAAATAAATGTACCACAAAGTGAATTAAAAAAAAAATAGGCTATTTATTTTTCTTTTAAAAATTAAAACTGCCTTAAAATTTGCATCAATAAGTTCAATGTTTTCTACTCATCGAACAGCAGTATTCAGGATCTTTTATTCAACTTTAGATGATCTAGTTCAAGTAACTGTAATATTAGTGTTAAATTAGATAAATTAACTGTCCGATCCACCATGCCAGATTGCTTCAAACCGAAATATAGCAATACTCGTATGACTATTGATTGTATTAAATTTAAAATTGATGTGTCCTTGCAGTAGATTATCGTGTGTATTGTTATTCGCATTACAAAAAAGAATTTTTTTTATAGCCCTTTTTCTATCCGAATTGTCGAATAAAGGCCTCTCCCATTTCTCGACATTCATCCCTGTTGTGTGCTAGGCGTTTCCACATTGGTCCTGCGACTCTTTTGATATCGTCGCTCCAGCGCATTTGAGGTCTTCCTCTTGGTCTCTTCGCATCGTACGGTGGCCAGTTTCCGACTTCTTTGTTCCATCTACCATCTTCGAGACGTTCGTTGTGTCCAGCCCATTTCCATTTTAATTTAGCTGCTTGTTTCGCGGCGTCCTTTATTTTTGTTTTGTTCCGGATTGCTTCGCTCGTTTGCCGATCTATTAGTGAGATACCAAGCATCTGTCGTTCCATGACTCGCTGAGTTTTTCGAATCTTGTCCATGTTCTTTTTTGTGAATGTCCAGGTTTGAGCTCCGTAAGTGAGAACGGGAAGGATACAAGAATCGAACACTTTGGTTCGAAGGTTTTGGGGTATCTTTTTGTATGTATGAGAGGTTTCCAAATGCGCCCCATTCTATTTTTACTCGTCTGCTTATTTCGGTAGTTTGGTTTTCTTTGTTTACCTTGATATTCTGACCCAGATATATGTATTCTTCTACATGTTCCACTTTTGTTCCTTGGATGGTTATCGTCGGTTGATCATCTTTATTCGACATTAGCTTAGTTTTACTCAGATTCATTTTCGTTCCTTTTTTTATGGATTCCGTATGAAGCTCATCGATCATCGTCTTGAGTTCTTTCCAGCTGTCGGCTATTAGTACTACGTCATCTGCATATCTTAGATGGTTTAAATACTTTCCGTTTATCGATAGTCCCTTCGTTTCCCAATTTAGTGATTTAAAGATGTCTTCAAGTGCGGCAGTAAATAGTTTTGGAGATATGGTGTCTCTCTGTCTTACTCCTCGGTTGATTTTTATTGGCCTCGTTTTCATTCCGTTATCCATCGTGACTACCATTTCAGCGTGTTGATATATATTATGTATTAATATCCTATATCTAGAATCTATTCTGCTGTTGACCAGTGCTTCCTCAATAGCCCATAATCCTATGCTGTCAAAAGCTTTCTCGTAGTCTATAAATGCTAAACAGATTTGTAAATTGTATTCGTTAACTTTTTCTATTAGGACCTTTAGTGTGTGAAGATGGTCACATGTACTGAACGCTTTTCTAAATCCGGCTTGCTCTACTGGTTGATAATTATTATTTTTTTTGTGTAAAAAAAGAATTTACTCCAAAGTATTAATTGGTATTACTTCCTGTAGCTGCATCTGTTTCAAGTAACCAGCAGCAGGTGGTAGAAAAAGTTATTCTTAAAAATAACAATGTAATCAGGTTTAATTTATTTATTAGAAGAAAAGGATGTAGTATTAGCAGATAAATGATTCCCAGATATCCAAACTATGATTGACAGTTTGAAGTTTGTCTAATTACACTTGCTTGCATTAAATAGTTTTGCCCTTTTTTCTTATTTCTTCTACAGTTTTAACATGATTTGTCACGACTAAAGGTTTGTTTGCTTTGACTCAGTAGTCTGTTGAAAAATAATTTTATGATTTATTTTTTCGAATCCAGTTTACATTATTGCATCCATATTAATGGTAATATTGCAATTTAATAATTAATTTTATTTAGTACATACAATGTTTACCTTTTAATATTCTCATAACCTCTAATCAATTCTAATCTAAACTCTAAAAATCAATTAAAACTTAATTTAAGTTAATTATTTATTACAACAATTATTGTGTTACGATAAATATGACTCATACCTAAACTATAAATATATTTTTCTAACAAGTATTTTTTAGTAGGGTCCCCTCCGATAAAACTTGTCTGGGTTCGATGGCGTTCGAGAACGTTCAGCAAGAGTCATCGGCCGAATTCTAGGCAACTCCAGAATAACGGTTATTAAATATATAGAGAGGAAATTTTTATTGTAAACAAGTTAGTCTGAAAAGAATAATTGTATCGAGTCGAGTTTAAATTGTAACGCGGGAAATAAATGTTGTAAATAAAGTATATAAATTAGAATAGTGTCAGTTAGCGTAATATCAAAGAATATAGACGCTTATAGAAGAATCTTTCACTGTTATGTTTGAAAGTTTGCAAAAGATGATCGCACGTTATGAAAAAGAATGAGAGGGTGGATCGAGAAGGGAGCGGTCATGTCAACGCTATTATTGCTTTTAAAATATGAAAGAGTGGGGCAACAAATGCAACAGATATTTTTATGTATAATGCCAGAGAACTACGAACACATAATGCCGCGTGGCCGTAGAATAGGATTAAATTTTTGCGTTTTATAATATTTTTTAAAGAAAATAATAATATTTTAACTTTTAATAAATGAATCCTATTAGAAAAAATATTATGATTCGAATTTTTAATTTAAATAGGTACAAATCTACAAATAATATTATAGTTAATAAGAAGAACTCTTTTCTTATTAACTATAAAATTAATTCAACCAATAAAGTCATCAATCACCGGAATTAAATATTTCCAAATTTTCTAAATTTAATAATTTCTTCTTTGTTTTTAATATAAAATAACAAAATGTAAAACACAACACTGTTTTTTCTGCAGAATAATGGAAACATGTCTAAAAAGCTTAATGAAAAGTCCTGAGAAAATCAAATTTTTGGTTGAATTAACCCAAAAGTTAACGAAATATTTTAAAAATATATTTCGTTAATTTTTGGGCAGAAAAACAGTATAATAAAAATTTATGTGACGGTTTTTCGTTGTGTTGGAACAAACCTATTTTTAATTCAAAGTTATAAAATGTAAAAAATAAATGCTTTGAATATTGTAAATATCACACCTTTTTAAATTTCAAAATTTAACAATTTAATATATTGAAAATAAAGATTTTATTGTGAAAAAAAAAACAAAAAAAGCATGGGATTTTTTTTAATCGTAGATGCAAAGTTAAATAAATAGCTCCGTTCGTACTCCTTTCCCACTTTCCCCTAACTATATCTTTTATGAGATAGTTTAAGCCGACTGCCAGATGTGTTTTAAAGTGTAAACCCTAACCAAATCGTCCATTTGAACTGTTCTTCTATAAGCGTCTATATTCTTTGGTAATATTATATATAAATTAAATAAAGACTCTAATAAACTAAGTGTTAGAATGTTCTCGGACGCGACTAGTTCACGTTCGAGACGCATCGCCCCCGCCCTTATTTTTCCCGTTGGCCCCTCCCTGACCTGGAAATCCCTAATCGCTACTTCAGAAAGTATAAAATTAGGCGATTTTCAGGTCAATCAGGTCAGTCCTTCACGGGCTCTCCGAGAGCTCAGTGCTCTCGGGGCTCTGCTTCCTTTTTAGCTTTTCATACTCTGTGGCTGAGTATTTTATTTCAACAATATTTAGTGTTTTATTTCGACTATTTAGTCGTGTAAGAAATATCTTGCCTTTGTCAAGGCAAGCCACCATAGACTGCATCCTGATGTTTATTTCGACTCATAAGTCATGTAAGAAATAGCTCGTCTTTTTCAAGACGAGCTCATCAGAAGAAAACCTTTTACGAATCCATACCCCGCAAATGGATTCAAGTAGAGGGGCTTTCGTCGACGTTTCCGAAGCCCTCTACAGAGCACACGGTGGTACAGAAGGTGGCAAGACCCTTTCCATTTACCCCGAGGTGACAAGAACATGTTATAATAAATAAATTTAAAAAATTAGATTAATAAAAATAGTTCAATTGTATGAAATAAACAAGTTTAAGTCACTTTATTTACAGTTAATATAGGACTAAAATATTAAAAGTGCTAACAGCTTCGCTGATTTATGCCACTAGGTGTCACTCTTCGGAACTTACATGTTGCGAATATGCAAAATGGTAAAATATGCCATTAAATTAATAAATTTTGGGAAATCACATACCGTGTTATGGTTTTATTTAAAAGAAACAGTAACAATTGCCTTTACCTCCTATCCACGTACTCATATCATCGATTCCATAAGCGACACTTCTAGTTTCTGTAAAATTTTCACTTGTTTGGTCCACGTTTTCTTGAATATCGAAATTGTCATCTGCAGTACAATTTTCAGAACCTGACACTATTGGGCTTAACATATCCATACTTTTAGTACCACAACGATTTTGTTTATAATTATTTCTCGCAACTGGTGTTGATTCGACTAGTCTTTTTTTCGTTGATTTTCTTAACGTCAGTTCCGGTGAAGAATTCTTCGAATATAGACAATTCTGAAATAGAAAATATTCATAAAATCTGTATATAAAAAAATAAACTTTCCTTGTAAACGTAATAGCACTTGAAGACTTTTGTAATTTAATATACCATAAAGGTTTAACTGAATTTAATTTGTTAAAAAAAAGCGGTAATAGCCCTGGCGCCACCTGTTGGAGATCTACAAAATCTATTTTTTTTTCGCGCGTATCTCGAATCAAATAACATTTTCTTCATAACAATAAAACACTGAAAACTTTGTTCTCAAACTTCCACAAAATTTATTTTAAGTCTTATCACTACAGCTGTTTGTGCTGATAGCCTTTCTCAAGTGATCTATTTTTGGCTTGGGTTTACAAATTTATAGTCTCTAATAAAATAGGTTGAGGAGGGGAGAACTGTTTGTCTCAAGTTGGTCATTCAGAATTATATCTGTGTTTTTTAATTTGTTGATTTCCATAGATTCAAACAAAATAGCTTAAGGCCTTCATTTTGAATTTGAAGAATTTTAAATTTGTCATTAAAAGAATGATTATGATCTAGAAGGTGAAGTGCGTATGTCGAATCTGTTTTTCTATTCTTGAAAGCCCTTTTATGTTCTGCTATTCGTTTATCAAAGTTTCTACCAGTTTGACCGATGTAAGTTTTTGGGCAGTCGCCACATTGAAGTTTGTACACACCACTATTTAAGTGTTTTTTATTTTGGCTCTTGTTATTTTTAATATATTTGCCTAGGTTGTTATTTGTTCGGAAAGCTGGTGTTATTCCTTTCTTTTTTATGTGTTTGGCAATTTTGGTAAATTTTGGCAAATTGGTAAAAAACCTTTTAGACCAAAATAGTACAAATCTAATAATTACATCTGAAATCTTACATCTTCTTGAAGTTTGCATAAACCAGGACTACTTTGAATTTAATAATAAAATATATACAAATAACAGTGCAGGACTTATAATGGGTAATCACAAAAGGGTAGAGACAAAGATTTCAAAACATCCAGTATTCAAACAGTTTTTATATTGGTGGAGATACGTAGAGACGACGTACTGGTATGTTTCACAGGAACTAACAGGCAACTCGACCAATTTTTATCGTATATTAATTCATTTCATAGTCATATTGAATTTACAATAGAAACAGAACAAAATCAATGCATAAATTTTTTAGATTTAAAAATTAGCAGAGTTCAAAACAAACATGACTTCTCCCTATTTCATAAACCTACCGATACTGACACGACTATACACAATTCATCATCCCATCCAACACAACATAAACTGGCAGCTTATCATAGTATGTTACATAGATTAACAGAAATTCCGATGTCAAAAGACAACTTTGAGACAGAATTAAATATAATTAAGCAAATAGCAGTAAACAACGGATACAACGAACAAACAATTAATAAAATGTTAAATCAAAAACTACACAAGAAAGCCCTGAAATTAGTATTTCCACCACCAGAGAAAAAACCAAGTACCTTCTGCTCGATAACATATACAGGCAAAATAACAACAAAAATTGCCAAACACATAAAAAAAGAAAGGAATAACACCAGCTTTCCGAACAAATAACAACCTAGGCAAATATATTAAAAATAACAAGAGCCAAAATAAAAAACACTTAAATAGTGGTGTGTACAAACTTCAATGTGGCGACTGCCCAAAAACTTACATCGGTCAAACTGGGTAGAAACTTTGATAAACGAATAGCAGAACATAAAAGGGCTTTCAAGAATAGAAAAACAGATTCGACATACGCACTTCACCTTCTAGATCATAATCATTCTTTTAATGACAAATTTAAAATTTTTCACATTCAAAAATAAAGGCCTTAAGCTATCTTTGTTAGAATCTATGGAAATCAACAAATTAAAAAACACAGATATAATTCTGAATGACCAACTTGAAACAAACAGTTCTCCCCTCCTCAACCTATTTTATTAGAGACTATAAATTTGTAAACCCAAGCCAAAAATAGATCACTTGAGAAAGGCTATCAGCCGAAACAGCTGTAGTGATAATATTTAAAATAAATTTTGTGGAAGTTTGAAAATAAAGTTTTCAGTGTTTTATTGTTACATAAAATGAATTTCCATCAAGTAACGGTCGAATCCATCAAACATTTTCTTCGTTGTCAACTCTTAGCAATTATTAGAATTATTTCTATCCAAATAATATACAACAAACATGATAGTAGGTTCATGATAGTAATAAAAATACATACCGTTAGTGTTTTAAGTCTCTCGATTTGTGCATTTATATGTATTCTATGTTCTTCTAAATACCTCAAAACTTCTTTCTCCTTCAAATTGTCTGAATACAAAAACTGCTGTAACTCTTTATTTTGCATTTCCAATCTTTTTATCACTAGTTTCAGTTGCGTGTTCGGAGATGACATTGGTTTTACATCACAAGTTTCCTGCTTGTTTGTAGTAACAACGCAGTCTTGATCACTACTAAAAATTAAAATGGATTTATAGCAATATTATTGGTTTTAATGACTTAAAAGTTGTTGAAAATTACTTTTGCAGTACATTTTACCTACAAAACAAAATAATGGTGTGCATATAAGGTATGTTTTTTTTTTATTTTTAAATTAGACCAATAGATGGCGTTACAGAGTTGTGGCGTCAATGTATTCATAAACATTCACGTTTGTTACTGGGAAATGTGGAGCCAGTGGCAACTTAAAAATTGACCAAACACGTTGTTGATAGTGAACATTTAAAAAGAACCAAGTTTGTGCAAAAATGGAAATTACCCATGTTGTGTTTAGTTTCTGTCAGAAACTAAGGGGTTAAGAAGTTAGAAAACTAGTTAGAAAATTATCAACTTCTTTAGGTCAAATAAAATCTAAACTCACCTTAATGGTTTCGTGTCTACAAAGACTGATTCATTTTTGTTTGAACACCTCAATATACTACAAATTTTCTTCAGTATCTTATTTTTAGTGTACGTTTCTTCCACCAATGTACAGTATTCTCTCATCGGATGGGATAGCTTGTGAGAATCAGTAGTCCTTCCTGTGAAAAAACATCGTTGGCATTGTGTGTATCTCCTACATTTGGTGCATTTATACAGTAAACCCATAACTGGATTAGTTTTACAGGTTGTACATTTGACTGAGTGTAGTGCTAAAAAATAAATAGCGACCAATTATATATATATATATATATATATATATATATATATATATATATATATATATGCGGAAACGAAATTGGAAATAAACGAGAACTTAAGGAAAGTCAAAGAAGATAATGCGGAAACTCTAACTATTGACCAAAAATGGGGGAAAATTCAGCATGTCCTTGTGTCAGTTGAAAAAAAAACCCTCATACCACTTGGAGAAAAAACAAAACCTTGGATGCAGTAGAAATTCTTGAACTTATGGAAGAACGAAGAAAACAAAAAGCAAAAAACCTGAATAAATACAAAGAAATTCAGAGAAACATCAAAAAGAAAATTCGAGAGGCAAAAGAGAGGTGGCTCTCCGACAGATGCAAGGAAATAGAAGATCTGGATAAAAAGTATGATAGCTTTAATTTACACAAAAAAATCAAAGAAATTACAGGTTCTAGAAAACGTACAAAAACGAATATCCTTAAAAATGAAGGGGATATTATTACTGATATGAAGGAGAGATTATGTCACTGGACCAATTACATCCAACAACTATTTAATGATGAAAGAGAAGAACTGTCATTAGAAATCACCGAGGATACCGGACCACCAATATTAAGAGAAGAAGTCATCTATGCCATCAAAAACACAAAAGAGGGTAAAGCTACTGGACCAGATGATGTACCCATCGAATTATTAAAACTCATCGATGAAGATGGTATTGATGTAATGATTGAACTCTTTAATCTAATATATCAAAATGCCACAATCCCCAGACAATGGCTGCAATAGATCTTTGTAGCAATTCCCAAAAAGCCAAGTGCAATAACTTGCTCAGATCACAGAACAATAGCTTTAATGAGTCACACACTTAAAACATTTTTGAAAATAATTCACAGCAGAATGGTTTAAAACTCTTGAATATGAAATTAGTGACACACAATTTGGCTTTAGAAATGGTAAGAGTACAAAAGATGCTTTGTTCGGCTTGAATGTGCTGGCTCAGAGATGCATGGACATGAATCAGGACATGTACTTATGTTTTGTAGACTTTGAAAAGGCATTTGATAAGGTTCAACATAAAAAGCTTGTAGATATATTAAAAAGCAAAAATATTGACAGTCGTGATATGAAAATTATATCTAATTTATATTGGAATCAAACTACCAAGGTAAGAGTTGACAGCCAGTACACCGAAAATATCAAAATACAGAGAGGAGTCCGCCAGGGTTGCGTGCTGTCCCCACTACTTTTCAATGTCTATAGTGAAGCGGTATTTCAAGAAGCGCTCTCAGACTCAATAGAAGGAATATCTATCAATGGAGAAGTTTTGAATAACTTACGTTTTGCAGACGATACAGTAATAATGACGGATAACAACAATGATTTACAGAACGTAATGCAACGCCTTGATGAATGCTGTCATGAGTACGGACTGAAGATAAATTTAAAGAAAACTAAATGCATGATCATGACTAAATCTGCACATGCAAATATCCAATTGACTATTGAAGATACTGCAATTGAGAGTGTTAATAACTATAAATACTTAGGAACGTGGATAACATCAGATGTAGACCAAGCCAAAGAAATTAAGACACGTATTGAAATAGCACATACATCATTCATTAAACTTAAAAAGTTTCTTTGTTGTCGGGGTATAAGGTTAGAACTACGCCTGAAAATGCTTCGATGTTACGTGTTCTCTACTCTTCTTTATAGTTTGGAAGCTTGGACACTAAAACAAGTTCATCTGAATAAGTTGGCCGCCTTTGAATTTTGGTGTTACAGAAGAATCCTACGAATATCATGGATTCAAAGAATGTCAAACATGGAAGTACCAAGAAGGGTAGGAAATGAGGTGGAAATAATATTAACTATTAAAAGACGAAAACTTGAGTACTTGGGACACGTGATAAGAGGGCATAAATACGCATTATTACAACTTATTATGCAGGGCAAAATCCGAGGAAAGCCAAATGAGGAAAGACGAAGAATATCCTGGCTTAAGAACTTAAGGGAATGGTTTGAATGCAGTAGTGCAGAACTTTTTAGAGCGGGAGTCAACAGAGTCCGAATAGCCATGATGATTTCCAACCTTCAATAGAAGATGGAACTTAAAGAAGAAGAATTATTTACCTATATATATATATATATATATATATATATATATATATATATATATTATATATATATATATATATATATATATGTATATATATATATATATATATATATATATATATATATATATATATATAATGCGCAAAAGATTAAAACTTTTAAGTAAAGTAATGCGTCACAAATTGGCGCCAGATAAAAAAAAATGCCACTTCATTCAGCAACAACAGACACAGAATCAGTAAAGGGTGCATCGACAGGTACGTCGTGGAAAACGTCTGTCCAAAAAGAAATTTTGGCTTGGATTTCAAAAGAATCTCAAGGATTTGAAATTTAAGACTAAAGAGATTTTTTTAAGACCCCATTACGAGCCGAATCCGAAGAAAACCCAAAAAAGAACCTAACCCGAATATAAAACGAATAAGACCAGAACAAACCCGAATATACACCGGATGAGACCCTAATAGAAATGCCACTGAATAGGAACTGCATAGCAGCAGGCCTGTTAAGAATTGCGACAACCATTTGTCGAATAGCGTAAAAATACTGGTCTGGCTATGTTTAAATAGCACGCTATGAGTATAAGAAGAATAAAAACTATTAGGAAAAAGAAATATAATTAGGCTTACGATTTTTTAAATATAATTTTAGACAGGGATTAAAAGCCAGACGAATGAAGAATCAGCATCTTATGTCTGTGTCTAAAAACAAACTAATTATAACTTAACAAGCCGTGAACCAAACTGAGAGTCACGCAGAGAAGAATGGAGCGGTCTATGTTAGGAATAACTCTGCGAGACAGAATAACCAACGAAGACATCAGGAGAAGAACCGGAGTGACTGACATCATCGAGAAGATAGCCAGACTAAAATGGAGATGGGCAGGACACATAGCCAGAATGACAGATGGGCGATGGACAAAGAGGTTATTGGAATGGAGGCCAAGGGAAGACAAGAGAAGCGTCGGTCGACCACCTACAAGATGGACTGACGATTTAAGAAGAATCAATAAAAATTGGATAAGAGCGGCGCAAGATAGACGGGATTGGAAACATGAGGAAGAGGCCTATGTTCAGCAGTGGACTCTTGAGGCTGGATGATGATGAAGCCGTGAACCTATTATAACATATTCTTCTTCTTGTAGTTCTTTTTCCTATCGGAGGTTGGCTATCATCACAGCTATCCGTACCTTATTGGCTGCTGCTCTGAAAAGATCTACTGATCTGCAACTATACCACTCTCTTAGGTTTCTTAGCTAGGAGATTCTTCGTCTTCCTATGGATCTTTTAGCCTTGAGTTTACCTCGCATTATGAGCCTTAATATCTCATATTTCGCACCTCTGGTAATGTTGCATAAATATTCCAGCTTTCTTGTTTTGATGTGCTTTATGACCTCGCAATCCTTTTGTTGCCTTCTTAACACTTCTGTATTTGTAACTCGTTGGGTCCATGGTATCAAAATCCTTCTATAGCACCACATCTCAAATGATTCCAACTTCTTTATATTATCCATTTTTAATGTCCACTTTCCATTCCATACAACAAAGTCGAGAATACGTAGCAACCTAAGGCTCTTTTCCTCATCTCCAGAGGAAGGTCTCGATTAACAAACATTGTTTTGATTTTTATGAATGCTTGTCTTGCAATTTCAATGCGCGTCCTTATTTCTCTACCGTGGTCATTGTTTTCATTTACCCAAGATCCCAGATATTTGTAGTTATTCACTCTTTATACTTGTTTTCCCTCGATATCTAGCCTTTATAATGTATGTTGCTTAGAAATAATCATGCACTTGGTTTTCTTAACGTTCATTTGTAGTCCGTATTTTATACCGACTTGATGTAATATATTTACTAAGCGTTGCAGTGGTTCTAGACTGTCTGCAAAAACAACGGTGTCGCCTGCTAATCTCATGTTGTTTAAGATTTTTCCGTTTATTGATATACTCTGTTGTTCCTCTGATATTGCTTCATTAAAAATAGTTTCGCTGTACAGATTGAATAACAATGGGGACAGTACGCAACCCTGTCGAACATCTTTTTTGATTTCTATAGTTTCTGTATCGACATTTTCGATTATATATAGTACAGGTTGTTTACAACTGTTGTTGTTTTCCTGTCCCTAGTTTCCATCGTTTCCCATCTCGGGTGTCGGCTTCATTTAGCTGTCTTCCTTCCATGGCTTCATTCACGTCATCTCGCCAGCTTCTTCTTGGACGGCCTCTTTTCCTTCTTTCGGTTGGGATCCATTTTAATATTTTCTTTGGCCACCTCTCGTCTGCCATTCTGTTTACATGACCGAACCAAGTTAGTTGTTTTTTCTGGACTTCATCTATAATGTCTTTTTCTTGCTCCATTCCACGTTTTATTTCTTCATTGCGGATTCTGTCCATCCTTGTCAATCTACAGCTTCTTCTCATAAAATCCATCTCGGCTTTTACTAGTGTCCCATATCTCTGCTCCGTATGTTACCACCGGCTCAACCATCATCGTCTTATATATTCATACTCCAGAGAATGGAGTTTAGGCATTTGGTAATGTTTCTGCCTTTGTTTATTCTTGTATTTATTTCTTCATGGCTATTTCCGTCTTTTGTAAACACTACTCCTAGGTATTTTACTCTATTTGTTCCTTTGATTTTGTCACTCTCCAATTTCAGGTCTTCGACTGTATTTTTCCCCACTGAGAGATATTCGCATTTTTGTAAGTTCATTTAAGTCCACATTCTTCGTACGCTGTTTGTAGTTTCCTAACCATATAGCTAAGGTCGTCTATATCTTCTGCTACCACCAGTTGGTCATCAGCGAAGAATAGTGTATAGAGAATATCCTCATCTATTTGTATTCCCATATTTCTGCATTGTCTTTGCCACTTTTGTAGAGATCGATCCAGATATATTTTAAACAGCGTAGGTGATAAACAACATCCCTGTCGTAGCCCTTTCGTAGTGTTGAATTTCTCACTAAGTTTGCCACCTATTTTAATTGATGCGGTGTTGTTTACATACCACTTTTGAGTTGCTATTATTAACGAAGGTTTTATTTCCATGTTTTGCATTTCACTCCATAAATTATTTATCGGCACGTTATCATATGCCTTTTCAAGATCTATCAGGGCTATATGTGTTTCTTTGTTGTCGCTTTTCGATTAATATTTTAAGTGTAAATAGATTATCTATAGTCGATCTTCCAGCTCTGAATCCGCATTGTTCTTCTGGTTGTTTCATACGAATGTCTTCTTCTATGAGGTTTCTAAGTATTCGGGAGTACAGTCGTCCTATAGTGGGGATGACAGCAATTCCTCTATAGTTTCTGACATTGTTTCGTGCTCCTTTTTTCTATATTGGGGTTATATAGGCCTCACGCCATTCTAACGGGGTCTCTTCTCCATTCAGGCATCGTTGAAACAGATCTTTGAGCATTTCCCACAGTTTAGCTGAGCCGTATTTAATAAATTCTGGTGAGATGTTTCCTGGGCCTGGCGCTTTTTTAAGTTTAAAAGATCTTATCGCTTTACGATATTTGTCATGTTCAATTCAATGAATTCTGATCGTATGTCTGTTTGCATTTTCGTATTGAAAATTTTGTCGTTCTTCTTGTAGTAACTGTTTAAAGTAGTCTACCCAGTCTTTTTCTGTTATGTTACTTAAATCTAATTTATTGTTGGTTGACGTTTTCATACATTTTAGCGTTCTCCAGGCTTCTGAAGTTTTCGATCCTCCAATCATTTGTTCTATGTATTCGCATTTCTTTTCCCAAGATCTATTTTTCCTTTTTGTTACTTCCGTCTTCACCAGTTTATTTAGGTTTTTATATATTTCTTTAGAGGGGTCGTCTTTTTTATCTAGATATGTTAGGTATGCTTCTTTTTTCTTCTTTGTCATTTCATCTATTCCCTCATCCCACCAATATGTTTTTTGTTTTGCGCGTCTTTGAGTGCCTATTGCCTCTTCTGCTGCTTCTTTAATACTGTGTACTATGTGCTTGTATTCTTCTTCTATTGTTCTATTTTCTATTACCAGTTTTCCATCTAACCTTCTTTGGTATAAATACTGCACGCTGTTATCTTCTAGACTTTGTAGATTATAGTGCTCTTTATTTGTTGTTACGTTCTTATTTACATTTGCTGTTTCGTATTTTCCCAATCTCGGTATGGTCATATTTCCGATTACTAGGTAATGATTTTCGATTATAACCTTTGATTTTTGATTCCAGTACAGATTGACAATAATCCGTACATCTCGACTATCCACATTCTTTTCTTTAAACAGTTTCACGAGTTTCTAATATCGTACTCTATCGAAAGCCTTTTGATAATCTGTACAGCAGACATAGAGATCCTGGTTCATATCTAGTCGTCTTTGCGCGAGAACGTATATATATCCTCCTATTTTTTTTTGTATAGTCTTCCATGTATTATTTTGACAAATATCTTAATTGTGTGGCATATTAAGGAAATTGTTCTGCACTGGAAGTATTCTGTCGCATGTACTGACTGTGGTAGTGTTACAAACGTGGACAGCAACCAATCTTAAGGTATTACTCCAGTTGTATATACTTTTTTGAACAGATCTAAAAGTATATGCAGTGTTTCTTTGTCAATGCATATAATTAGCTCAGTGCATTGACTTTTGTGATTGTTACTAATTGCCTGTTCTAATTCGCACATTATTATTTTTGTTCCTGTTTGTTCCTGTGGTTCTTCTTGTATCATTCTATCATCGTTGAATAGTTTCATTATGTATTCTTGCCAAAATCTTAGTTTATCTTTGATGTCTGCAATGAGTTTACCATTATCATCTTTGAGTGTCCCATAGTGTGCTCGCTTTTTGGTATTTGTTAGTTCTTTTATTTTTTTATGCATATTGAAGCTGTCGTATTTTCTCTCATACTCTTATATTTCTATGCATTGATCTGAACCACTTTCCTTGGCCTTTTTTATCTCTACTTTAATTCTACTTTGTAGTTCTTGATATTTTGGCTCATTTCTCCCTTTGGCTTTTCTCCTCTCTTTCATTAATGCTAGAATTTATGAAGTAATCCATTTCTGTTTTTCAGTAAACCTATTTATAAATATATAAAAAAGATAATTACCTGGTTCTGCTGTTTTAATTCTCTGAAGAACTGGCATCCATGACAAGATTTTTGGATTGTTGTCCACCCATGAAATGAACATTGATTCGTTGATGCCCACAAAACCTGGAGACTGAAATTATAATTGTTTTTTGTTGGAAATGGGATTTTTTGTTATAAAGAAAAAAATGGAAGTATTTAATGTATAAAGTAACTTTTTGTTTTGCTTTTGTCTTCTCATACAATCTTTTTTAAATTTAATTTTGGTCTACATACTTACATTCATAAAACAGTTTTCTAGTGAAATGTTAATAAGTTTAGTGCCATAACTTGCATCTTCATGTAAATAGGTAGTGACTTCAATTATTTTTGATAAAAACGACTGAAGTCGTTGTCGAGTGATGCAATTATTGTGGTCAGCGCATTGTTGAAATATATATCTGTACATGTCTTTCACTTCACAATTACTTAGAATTGCTAATGTCAGTTTTATGGATAATACTTGGATTTTCCCTTTCCTATGCCTAAAAATGAATATAATTAAAGTTATTTATGAGAAAAAAATTTTGACAGTTTTGACTTTTTAACAATTAACCAATTTAAGGCAGGTTTGCACAGCTCTCGTCCGCGCCAATGGTTTTAGACACACCTGTAACCTGGTGCCACCCACTAGATGCGTGTATAAACGTGCCTGTCCAGCGCTGTCCTAGTCAAGCACTGACTTCAGTTACTGGATATGTGTAAACCTGGCTTCATTTGTCAAGTTTTTTGGCTTTAATGCCAGGTTTACATGTATCCAGTAATTGACACCAGTCTCACTGGCATGACAGTGCTTGACTAGGACAGCACTGGACAGGCACATTTACACATATCCAGTAGCTGGCTCAAGTCTCAGTGGCAAGCCAGTTCCTACTTGGTCAATCGTTTGTTGTTATTGTCATTGTCATGCTACTTTTGCAAACATGTACGCCAGCATTTGGAACGTTGTGTTTAAACGTGTCTACAACCGCTGGCGCGAGGTCAGAGGAACGCGGACAAAGACCACTTATATGAAAAATTGACCAGCTCTATATTCGAGAAGTAATTAATAAGATACAAGTGGCACAGAGAGCGATGGAGAGGTCAATGTTGGGCGTATCACTCAGGGACAGAGTTTCGAGTCAGATAGTAAGGAGAAAAACTGGTGTGACGGACGCAGTTGAAAGAATTACAACCCTGAAATGGAACTGGGCAGGACATGTTGCTAGGGTCAGAGATGGAAGATGGACAAAGAAAATTTTAGAGTGGAGGCCTAGACACGATGCTTATCGTAGTCGAGGACGTCCTCCAACAAGGTGGTCGGACGATTTAAAGCGCATCCAGTCTAACTGGATTCAAGTTGCTCAAGATCGGATGCAATGGAATTATTTACGGGAGGCCTATGTTCAGCAGTGGACGCAAAATGGCTAATGATGATGATATTCGAGATAGCGCTGGACTGGAACAAAAAGATGATACCACTACCATGCCAGTGCTATTGTGGCATGAGAGTGGTATCATGTAAACACTTTTTATTGTGTAAACCTGCCTTAATGTGTAGCTTCTACGTGAGCTTTTGGTCCAAATACAACCCAAGATATTTCACTAGGAATCTAGCAGGAGTAGTGACGTTAATTTGAGCGGATTTCTTGTCTTTAAATTTAATTTTTCATTTTTCAACAATTCTCAAACATAAGCAAGTAGTATCTTAACAAATTTTCAGATCCTATGTCTGGGTCTTTATATGTAATTAAGACTGCTGTATCATCACCAAAAAACGCTGCAACGTCATTTCTAATTGGAATGTCAGCAGTAAAGATTAGATATAGGGATGTCCCAAGAACAAGTCCCTGAGGAACTCCAGATTGGATTGAGTCATAAATTGAGAACTCTTTATTGATTTTTACTTGTAACGAATGTTCATGGATGTATAACTTCAGGATAAGGTAAATATAGCTAGACATATGGCTTAGCTAAGCTTTATATAGCAAGCTGTTATGCCATACTATATCAAAAGCGTGCTGAACAACGAGAAACACTGAGGTACACATAATCTTTTCTTCCAAACTTTTCTTGATTTTATTTACTATTATAAAGTTTTTTGTCGCTATCTAGTACAGGAATTGGAAAATGGGGACACTGAAAACAGGCTGTGAAAAGAACCATATAATAATCACCACTCAATTTTATTTTGAGTTTAAAAAGAATCCTAGTACATAATAGTGAAATAGATATAAAATATAACTTACCTATCATATACATTATATAAAAAATTAAGCATCAATTCTGTAGCAAAATCTACGTCAATTTTTGTGTGATTTTTTTTGTTGGAAGCAAAATAAATGTCCGATAAAACAGCTTCCAATTCACAACTTTCCAGACAAAGCGAACTTTCATTGGCCCCCAATCTGTGTCGTTCAAAAACTCCTGCTATTATAGATAGAGGAACATCATCCACTAAAAATATATACAAGCTATATAAGAAATAATAAGTATAGAAATAATTTAAAATTGAGTATGTTACTCAAATTCAAAACAGGAGTCCACCCATTTGATATGTAAACTACAAAAGATGTGCTACAAAATTACAATTTGTTGTCATTAAGTGAATGATCCAGGGATCTAGTGCAAATACTCTAAATGACTGTGTTCTAAGTTAGGTAAATGTTTCAACCATACTGATTCTAACTTTAACTTTAAACATAATTGTTGAATAGTATTGGAGATATGATAGAACCTTGAAGATTAATTTTAAGATGTGTCAACAAATTGTTATTAATTTTCTCATCCATCCGGCAAAGATTTCTGACGATTTATATGTTCCTTCTATATAAACATGTCGACAAATTATATCTGCGTGGGTCAAATTTTAGCCATGTGTGAGGGAGAGAGAAACTATTCAGAAACTATCCAGAAAGTGACTGCTGCTCATGAGTAGGTATCTAATGTCTGATGTTTTTTAGACAAAGAAATGGTGGAAAAATGGATAGGAACAGTGAACAGCAGAAACTTTGTATTAGCAAGTCATACTTAGCATTATCCAAGACATACATAGAGGCAGTGATAAATATAAAAAAAACATGTAATTGATTTTAGAAGTTTTGAATCAAGAGTTTCAACAAGAAGAGCACTTTTCTATATGTTAACTATATAATAAAACTGAATTGTGTATCACCACTTATTTCTTTACATCTTCTGTTTATTCTAGCCACAGCCACAAAATATCAAAATAACAAATAACCAAAAACTAATTTCGTATAAAATTTAGAACAAAAGGAGAATGTATCTTACTATATAAAGCATTCTGTAAAACTCTAAATTTTAGAGCAACTCTATAGATTGAATATTTAACATAATTGCAGTCATCAAGTCTTTGTCCAATTTCACTAAATTTAGGGTGATCCCATTGCTTGGCTCCAGTAGACTTGCTAAAAAGTAAATGTCACATTTTAAAAATTAATAAAAATAAAAAATAATAAAAATAATACAAAAACAAAATAAGAATAATCTAAAGCTGTTACAAATGTTTATCAATTAATTTAATCTATTTGTTTTTAAAATTAGTCATAGAAAAAATATAATATGCAAACCGCATAGAATGGTACTAATTTCTAAATCAAATTCATAAGATTTCATTCCATTATCCTGATAAATGTTAGAATGTCTATAAAAAATAATTATATTTACGAATTGTCGGCCGCTTATACAGTACCAAAAATAACAAGACAAGTTTAATTTTCAATTTTTATTTTACTTATAATAAAAGACATTATAATAAATAAAAAACATGAGGATTAAATAATAAAAACACCTGCAATAATATAAATGCACTACACGATTTCATTGATTATTAAAAAATAAACGGTATAAAAAATATATAAATTTTAATTTTAGGAAATATTTTAATTACTTACTTATAATAATAAGGAAACCCGTTTTCGTCTTCTATTTTCTTCCAAGACAATGCAGTCATTTTAAATAGTTGACTTTTAAAAAAAATCACGGCGATACAGGTGTAACCGAAACTTCACAACAGGTAGTAAACAAGTAACAGGTAGAAAAATTTCTGAACCCGAACTTTTTCACACATTTATCTTCGCAATTTTACTTACATCAATAAAACTTACACTTTTATTATTAGCGCAACAATAATTTCTTTAAAAAAATATTTTTCAACTGTGAAGATACCACCCATAAAGTATAAAACGGTTTACCGATAAGCGATAAACAAAAATTTAAACTAAAACGACCACTTCCACCTAATAGATTGTTTGTCTGTATTGTCTTTCCTTGTTCAGCTAAGTAAGGATTTTATCACTTATTCGTGCCATCCTTCCTTTTGTTATAAGGAATGTTGGTAATGCGTGTTGCCTAAATTTATTTAGGAAATATTAGGTTGTGTATAATCCTCCAAGCTGCCGTCAGAAATTATAAAACAAATCTACTTAGAATATAAAACCAAAGAATATAGACGCTTATCTATATTCTTTGATAAAACGGCTTATATTCAAAACAAATCTATAAGAACATTCAAATAAATTGGAAATTAGTGAAAACGTTAAATTATATTTAATATCAATTATTTACTGGGAAATATTCCTAAACTTGAATAGTCACATTTTAACTTTTTGGGATATAGACGATTTATAGGTTTTCATAAATTATCGAAAGTTGTATTCTTACAAAGTTAAATGGAATTCTTTCTACTTTGAGATCTAAAGCTGTCAAAATTTAATTGTCAAAATAAACAAATAATTGATCTATGTATCCTGTAAACGTTCTATTTTAATAACTTTCAAACGTTACTTTCGATGTTTTTTATGGTTTTCTGTAATAGCTCATAAGAATTATTGAATTCAACTTTAAACCGCCTACATGTTTAAGACACTGATACTTTCCTGGGAGTACCTACGACAAATTTTGAGGAAAACTGTAAAAACCTTTATTAAAAATATTGGGTTAAAGTAAGTATATTTACACTTCAAACAATTTGTTTCTTTCCTGATTGATAATTTTAATCCATTCGTACTAAAAATGGCAACCACAACTGTATCATAAAACAAGAAGTACATCAGGAAAGCCTCTTGTCTCGGCATCCCTTTAACATCTATGCGGAACATGTAATTAAGAAATCTCTGAAGGAACGTCCAGAGGCTGCCAAAATCTACGGAATTGTGATGAATTACCTAATATATGGAACCGACACTGTGGTACTTGCTGAATCGGAAGAAAATCTACAAACACTAATGAATGTCCTGTTGGAAACGCTTACCAGAATGGGACCAGAGATAAATTTCTCAAAATCCAAAACTGTAGATTTTGACCATGGATTCCATGATTCCTATTCCTGCAAAATAGCAAGAAAGTAATTATCGACGTTACTAACCAAAAATTCGTAAATATCAATCAAAATTCAAGAATATTGGCTTGACAATAGATTTAATATTCTTGGCGAAGAGACAGAAAAAGAATCTATGAAAATATCAAAAGAAAACGTAAAAACCTAAATTCTTATCATTCTTCATAACCGGAGGGGAAAAGATAAATATTCTTATGGCACTGTTAAATAAAGAAATTGCCCAAAAATTAGTATTAGGAGAGACTCGGCTATTCGTGCGACCTAAGGCTAACTCAGGATTTTGCAAAATCTTAAAACTTAAAATTTCAGTTTTCAGTTTTCGAAAAAGTGTTCGCAAAAATTCAACTTAAAAATAACGTTCTAAAATGTAGTTTATTAAACATATATATTAAAGGTTTAAACAAACATACGAAAAAAGATAAGAAACCAAGTTAAAGATATATTAAAAAGAATCTAAGCATCGCAGAAATCACAAATATATTCTTGTGGACTATCATCTTCTGTACACATGGCGTGAGCACATTGACAAATATCGAACACTTGTACCATACCTCCTCTTTTTTGCTACCATCACCACATAGTACATAGACGTCATTTTCTTGTGACACGAGATCCTAAAACTCATCACCATCCCACAGTTCACTTTCTGAAACATTTTCGAAGCTGCTATCTTCAAAAAACTTCCTTTTTGTGCCTTTTTCCAATTTTGTCCATTTTGACGCTTGTTTAAACAATATTGCCGTTCTTTCCTTTTTTCAATTTCCATCTTACGTTTTTCCCTGTTAGGAGTTTCTGTTAATATCTGAGATGTTTGTTTTTTCCGGCAAAACTTTTTTTTGGTGGTTTCAGAAGTGGAATTAGATTTTCCAAAAAGCTGCTGCTGGATTTATTTGGAACTGCAGCATCATTTTCTTTTATTAGAGATTTGAGTTTTTTGTCAACAGGTAAATGATAAGTTGCGGCTAAAAGTCATCATTCGGGAATTTATCTAGTTGGAGCTTGTGTGAAGTGCGAGAGGGTATCGTTAAGAGAAAAACCTGATGGTGTTTACAGTAATTAATCCATTAGCGCCTAGCGTGATCAAATGATCACACATAACAAGACTCAAGATTTTATTTTTTAAACTGATAATTTTAATCTAGGCTCAAGACCAATGCGTTGCTTATGCCTTGGTTTAAATTAATAAACAGTGCCAGGTGCATTGAATTGTTTTCGTGGCAAATCCGTACCTCCGATTTGTGTAAGTATTGCATTTATATAGAAAAAACTTTTAAAATTTGGTTTGTGGTATAATAATGTTATACAAATAAGTTAAACTTTATCTTAAAATGATTTACACTTCGAAATAGTACTTTAGTATTGTAACCTCGGAAATCTTTTTTGGGTGGTGCTAGAAAGATAACCAATGGAGACACTGCGGACGGCAGCCAGATGGTTGGTGGAGAGCGAGTCGTGGGTTCGAAACTAGCTTTTGGAACCGGGAATGGATCCAACGGAAGAAATAGGTAAAGATAGACTAAGAGATATTAGAAAAGATACCAACAGTAAATTATCAAATAAATCTGGTCAACGCAATATATAAACAAATAATAAATATATTAAGTATTACACTTACTTACCTACGAAACTTAATCAGCCTGATCTTTCTACAGTTCAAAAGCATAGTAATATTTAAAGATAGTAATTGTTCAGAGCTATTATTTTATCAGGGAACTTGTTAGGAGCCGACAAATAAAATACATGCATAAAACAATAACAATATATTAAACACAAAATTATGATGCTGCTAAATGCAACCCAGGTAATAAAAATACACAACTATGAAATGGTATATATGTATAAAATTAAGCTATAATGTAATAAAAAAAATATCTTTACCAAAATGTATAAGGCAATCATATACAAATATAGTTTGGCGTATCTCGAGATATCATAGGAAAGATAATGAACAAAAATTATAGGAAATACAAAAGATAGCAAAAATTACTTAACTCTAAATTTACAAAAAAACAAAAAGGTTACAAGAATGAAAACATACACTAAACCGCACTTGGCTAAGTCAATTAACTAGCTCGCACTATTATTTTATAAAAAACTGAGACTTGTATGTTCATAGGTAATATTTATAGAAATTTCTTGAATGGTTCAATTACATTCAAAAATCGGCAATCTTCAGGTGAAGATATAGATGATACGTCCAGATAATGGCAGGTGATATGGTACCATACCATATTACTCGCCCAGATAATTGTGGATAAAATTACTTACAGTAGATCTTGACGAAGGCAGCTTAATTCACTGAATTTAATACTTTTCTGGTACTAAACACTGAATTTAATAACCATTAAAGGTAGTGGAGAACTATATATAATTTAATATAGTCTAAGGAAAGAAAACTCAAATATAAAGTGTATACACACTTAGAAAATAATTCACAATGACGATACGATAAGAAATAAAGTGAGCAAAGCGTAACACGAGATATTGGCCTTAACTCAACAACGGCCCACCAACAAGTAACTTGGTTCCACTCAAAATTTCACCAACTGTCCCTGAAAAATGAAGAAGAAAATATTCCCCCACTCAAGAATGATAGGACATTTGTATGTGTTTCTCAGAAGGTAAGGCCTTAACGACTATTGGAAACTTTGAGGTAAAATAATCGGTATTAACAATTGGACATAAGAAACAGACAATACTTGGGATTAAGTTATTGTCAAAAGAAACGGGCCTTCGACGAAAATTACCAATTTATGAAAAGGAAACTGCATACCAAAACGCATTATACTCTTTTCATAATGAATATTATGACGGAAGGATTAAAAACCATTACTAATTAGGGAATTCCATTTTAGCTGGGTATCTACAATATTTTGCTATCGATACAAGATCATAGGCGTATCGCACGGGGGTAAAAGGAATTAGAAATATTTAATATATTAATAATAAAAAAAAATGTTACAGTATTTCATAATTACACATTTATTAGAGATGTGATCATATGAACACGCTAGGCGTGAATGTGGACAGACGTTTTTTGTCTGGTAATCTTATAAATGTCAACCTATTTTTATTATTTTAGTGGTATTACTTTGAAAGGAGCATTAGCTATGATTGAAAACGACAACGATCAAGATTTAAATGAAATATTTATAAAGCCTCCAGATCCAAATGTACTAACTGTGGGTGAACAGCGAATAAATGACTCGGTTCATGAAGTAGCTGAAACCATAGAGAATTCTATAAAAAAATCTGCCAAAAAACCATCAATTGTCCACCCTTGTTTGATTTTCCTTCTCCTTCTTATACAAAATATAAAGATTTAAGTCCATATATAAAGTAATAAGTATGTTGCTTCTAAAAATTGTTCAGATTTCAATGTGATCCTTAAAGAGATTCAAGTTTTCTTAGCCATACTAATTTTGTCTGGTAACAATACAGTACCTTCAAAGAGAAACTATTGCAGCTTACAAGAGGATCTGCACAATGAATTTGTTGACAATTCTATGAGAGGGATCGTTTTGTTGCAATTTCACGATATTTACACTTTGCAGATAATAATTTTCCGTCAACGGTGGATAAAATGTAGAAACTAAAACCATTAAGAAATATATTACAAAATAAATTTGCAAAACTGTATGAGGCCGAACAACATATTAGTTTTGATGAGTCAATGATAGAATATTTTGGTAAGCACAATTGCAAGCAGTGCATTCGAAATAAACCTATTAGATTTGTATATAAAGTATGGAGTCTAAATACCCTCATAGCAATTAAGACTACGAAAATACATTTGGAAAGTATGCTGTACCCTTGGTACAAATGCTTGACACTTTTCCAAATCAATTTAAAAGTTTATCTATGCATATT